TCAATTTTATTGCTATTACTCAGAGTGAGTCATCTGTGTGAGGTGTCATCAGCAGGAATAACCAGGGTCATTGCTTGCCCTTTTTGGATTTTTTGTGCTAGAATCCCCTTGAGCTATTGTCAGTATGTGTTCTCCTCACCTTAGGGAAGTAGGACCTGGGTCATCACCCTTTACACAACCTTTCTCAGAATTTTACAGAACAATTGGACTCAGTTAATAAGCTCACAGCATCAGCATGCCTGACAAGGAAGACCTTTTATTTTCCTTGGTAACAGGCCTATAGTGGGTACTCAAACAACCAGATTGTCTCTTGGGAATGTCTTTGCCTCATGAAACCTAGAAAATATCTTCAATGACAGGTGTTTTTGGAGGTAAGTTAAAGAAATAGCTCCTTCTCAATTAATGCAAAACACTGCTTCTCATTCCACCACACAGCTCCACACATTGCATCATGACATTTGATCAGGCTTCTGTAGCCCCAGAAGGGTACACTTTGGCAATAGGACATTGCCCTCTTCATTGTGCTTGGGGCAAAGCCCACTTGAGAAACGAAAGCTCCACAGAACCCCTCAAATTCATATGCTGGGCTACCCTAATTCTAGTGTGAATGAGAATGACCACAACGTGATAAAAACTTGTAAATACCCGACTTATTCCTCCTGAAGACCCTGAACACATTTTACACTGAGAAATATACTCTGGGCTCAATGTAAGCCATGGACAGGAAGCACTGCCATCAGCCAAGAGTGAGATTCCAGGAACTTCACCTGAAACCACTGCCAGATGAAAGCCACCTTGATTCTGTGATCATTAAAGACTTGGTTTCCTTAGTTGAATAAACACAGAATGTGGAGCTGGTAGATTCGGGATTAAAGCCCTCCACTCCCATTTAAGACGAATAGGGTTTTAGGTAGCCTTCTTAATTTCCCGAAGCTTCACTTTCTCATCTATAAAACCTGGAGATACCAATGCCTGTCTTACAGGGTTTCCAAGGTGATTAAATATGCACTCACAGAGAGGATGGGGACAAATAGCTCCTGAGGCATTCCTAACTGTGGAATCTAGATGGCCTCTGATCCTTGTAGCATCTCTTTAGGTGCCCAATGGCTTTCACCTCTATGGTTTCCTTGAGCCTCACACTAATCCCCTGAAGGGGTTAAGAGCAGCTCTGGAACACTATTGTGTAAGAAGAAAAAGGCACAATACTGAGAAGTTTAATGACTTTTTCCTAACATCATAACAGGTGGAACCAGGACTGATTGTCCTGCCCAAAACGTTATCCAGGAAACTCTGCCAAATCGTATTTTGTAAACAGTCTAACAATATCTGAACAGCAGATATTCAGGTGAGACACAAGGAAGAACAGCTGTTCTACCCTGAAACTAGCCACAAATGAGAAGTTCTAGAATCTTCTCTGAGGCTGAAGGATTTAGAAATGCCAACCATGCAAATGGCATTTCTGTTGAAAAAGTAAGGCTTCTTTAGCCACACCATTAACCTATTTAAAATGATGCAATGAATTTTGTGGTTAGAGTCATCTTCTATAAATTATTGAGAAATAATGGCATTATGAAATATTATGAAGCCATTAAAAGCAATAAGGCAGATCTATATGTGCTGAGATAAAAGGGTATCTATGAGATATTGTTTACTGAGAAATGCAGAGCAATATGTATAGTGTAATTGAATTTTTATAAAAATAATATATACAACTTATATGGCATACCTGCTATAAGAGATCAGTAAGGTTATATATCAAACTGTCGACTGGATTTATCTCTGAGAACATATTTGGAATGGGGATCAGGTAAAGGAATTTCAATTTTTTTTAAACATTTTTCCTACTTAAAATTTTACAATGAAGTGTATTCATCTTTTTAAACTGCAGAATATCAAAAACTGGGAAAACAAAAAAATCACATATAGTACATATAATAGATATTTATTGAATAAGAACTTGGTGAGTTTCATAATTTTCTTACAAAATATTACTATTATACTTCACATTTAATTCTGCTTTATAACACATATATTTTTAATATGCATGATGCCATTAGGGTTTTACACAACCCTCTGAGTTGGGCAGAGAGCATCTTACAAAATAGGATTTTGAGATGCTGAGAGGTCACATCATTTTTCCGAGGTTATACATAACTGATACTTGGACAATCTTCTTATTACTTGACTTTTATTTTACCTGAGATTTTTTGGGGCCCCTCTATGTGCTAGGCCCACTCTTCTCCCCACTACACCATATGCACTGCAATTTGCAAATAAAGATTTGAAAATATACAAGCACCATATAACTCAAAGCCTGAAAATGATAAATAAAAATTTCTAACTAATGGACAACTGTTAGATGCAAATTTTATTTTGGTTACTCTCCCTATGTGCTTTTCTAATATAAGCTATAGCAGATTTTATTTACTCAACCAAAGTTTCAGCTTGCTTTTCTAAAGAAAAGATTTGCTAGTTTCAACTTTAGCTTTTTTTTTCCCCCTCTACCATTCACTTAAAGAGGCCATTAAATGGTTTTTAGTTCATCTCCCACTTTAAAAGATAATCAAATGTCTGCATAGTCCTTTGTTTCTTCTATAGCAGATCATTTTTCCTTCATTTTTGCACAGGGAAAGGATTAGGCAGAAAAGATGTGCCCATCATCCCAAAAGATTGGAGAAGCTTATAAACTCATCCCCAAAGGAAAATTCTTTTGCCATAATGTCTCAATTAACTTAATTTCTGTGGTCTGACTTTGCAAACAGAAACTTGAGTCCATCGATGTGCTCAAAGTTAAACACCAAACAACTGCAAGCTTTAACTGTAGGGTGTTGGCTGGCTGGGCTCACACAGAGGAGAACTGCAAGGAGAACTCTGTCCGTAGTTATCCATTAATGAAAGGCAATGCCGACAAATATGATTCATGAGGCTCCTGCTACCGAGGGGTGGGTGGGTAGGAAATAAAGTCTTCTAAAGCAATTGAGTCAAGGAGGCCTGGGTTCTGGGGATAGCATTTGTTTACACATTTATTCTTTTATCCTATTTATTATCTGTAGGTACTGCCTGTGATACAGGTATAAAAATGATGAACAAGTAGGGTTACTGCCTTCCTGGAACAATATTTTAGTGTGAAGATAGGACAACAAACCAAATTAAAAAAATTAATTACACCTGTAATCCCAGCATGTTGGGAGGCCAAGACGGGCGGATCACGAAGTCAAGAGATCAAGACCATCCTGGCCAAAATGGTGAAACCCTGTCTCTACTAAAAATACAAAAAAACAGCTGGGTGTGGTGACAGGCGTCTGTAGTCCCAGCTACTCGGGAGGCTGAGGCAGGAAAATCGCTTGAACCTGGGAGGTGGAGGTTGCAGTGAGCCGAGATCGCACCACTGCACTCCAGCCTGGTGACAGAGCGAGACTCCATCTCAAAAAGAAAAAAAAAAAGAAAAAATTAATTACAGATCGTAATAAATGCTAAGCAGAAAATAAGCATCATGCTATGATGGTTAATATCAATGATGGGGGAAGGCAGGAACCTATTTAGATAGGGAGGTCAGAAAAATCTGAGAGGCAGAATCATAAACTCCTGTCATACATCATCCTAATCCCTGCTGCAAAGCAGATACAACCCCTCCCCGCCCCTCCCCTCCCCTCTGCCAGATCTTAATACAACTCTCTTAAAAAGGCTGGGAGTAAAATGCCAAATGGAATAATTCCTCCAATGTCATGTAATCAAGTCCTGCAGTGTGTGAGCTAATTTTGTGCCGTAGCATTGTCAAAAAATGTTTTCTGTGGCTGAAGAACGCCTATTTTCTTCTTTATTTTTACTCTTCTCCTCCCTTCTAAACTATTGCCATTTTCATTCTGACCTCCCACAAAGCAATGAGTTGAGTTTTCTCTGCAGTGACCATTGTGCAGTTGTAAGAATTTGGAGAGCAGCAGGAGCCTGCTGGGGCTGTGACTTTGTCTGGTGGCCTTGTTCTCAGAGAGAGAGAGAGGAAAAAAAATGGGCTTAAGAGGAAGGATATAGATTATGAACAAAGGAAGCCTTCATGGCTGCAAAAAAATAATGAGGACACAGGATCAATGGCAGCATAGAGCTCCTTTCCTAAATATTTAAGATGGTGAATTCTCTGGAATTGTTTTGGTACAGTCTTACCTTGAGGCACAGGACAGCCCCCCAGCAGACTTAGGATGTCCCTTCACGTCCCAGGACACTATAACACAGAGTCTTTTAAAAAATTTGTCCCTTGACTTACTGTGTTCAAATGCTCTGCATTAGATACAACCAGCAATGCAATGCCAAAAAAAAAAAAAAAAAAAAAAAAAAAAAAAGCGTATATTTGGAATTCCTTCAGATGATCTTTTCTTGGACATACTATTTAATTGCATGAGCTTTTCCAGATGTGAAGCTCACTCTTTGGGAAGTAACAAAGAATTTGTGAATTAAGTAAGTTATCCTGCTTTTATGCATTTTTTCCCGTGTGATTATATATTATAAACAGAATGTTGAGGTTAATCATATGAATTTGTCAGAAAATGCACTCTCAGAATTGTTTTGCTTAACAAAAGTCAAAATTTCTTAAAATGAAACCAGCTGTTTTACATTTATACCAAGATCAGGGTTAAATATTTAAGATCTCTGTATTGAGTCATTCCAAATGAGGTAACCAGTTCTCTTAAGACTAAATAGCATATCTCAAAAACTATAATACACAGGAAAGAGTTTAATGTAAATTATACATTTACATTTACAAAAGAATTTCAACTGCTGTCTCTTTTTCTTCTTAGAGACCTGCCTGTTTTTAGCAAACATTCTGCTTTAGACAAATTACACTCATTTACTTTCTTAATCTTTTTGGCTTGATGCAATGCTAATACTATGAAATTCAGATTTGAAATATCTGCATTTCCCTGGCCTGACGACAACCCTTATAGTCCATTTAGATGAAAGTAGCATTTGGAGCACTTTTGGTGTGAATTATCCATACAGCCACTCTCAGCTGCTGGTCCCCATGCCACGTAGGAGTCTCTCCTCCTTCACCAAAGGCATTTGCTTCCCTTGGATTGTGTCTGGAAAACTTACCTAGCCACAGAGGGCAATAGTGTCTCCAGCAATTCCTCAGAGAACACCCAACTTTGGGACAAAGTCTTAGACATTTATCACTCAAGGAGACAGTTATTTTATTCTACACAATTCTCAAGACAACTGAATAGATGATCAGCTTGGAGTGATGCTTCATGACCTCCCTTTTCCTTCACACTGGCTTCTAAGAACTAGCAGAAAGCTGGAGAAAACATTTTGCCTACAAAGACCAGGAGCACTATTTAGCCAGGGCTGTGATCACAGTTCTGAAAATTTATATTCACTGGGCATAGGGAGCAGAGTCCTGGAAAAGATCCGAGATCAGGAAGTGAGATGACGGCATCAGCGTAGAGACTCAAGGCGTCAAACATCCTCAGAGTCTTTTATAGTTTCTCTAGTGCATTTGCCTGGAGGCCTTTATCTGGATATTCTTCTGTCTGTCGAAATAAGGGATAGAAAAGGGGAAGTAGTGCCCTTGGTAAAATAAATGCTAGTTTGGTGTGTAGATAAGATGTCTGCAATCTGGAGAGTTTGAGATTGAGGTGGAAGAACCATATTTGAGCTACCACATGGAAAAAACATATCCATGTACCTGTATTCATACATTTTCATAAGGTCTCCTGGTTTCCCACCCCAGGGAAGAAAGATAAGCATGTTGGCATATGGATTAGTTTGGGAAGAATACAAATGTTTATGAGCCATGTTTTTCCATTAAGTAAAAGTTTACTTAATGCTGTGAAAAAATAAATATTCTTATAATTTAGATTATTAACGCAATGGATGAGAGAACTTGAATGAGAATTTGGACACTGCTTCTTATTTACTAAAATATTAACAGCTGGGCAGCTTTGAAAAGAAGTAGAATAGAGGCAGCTTTCTTATTTTCTTTTCCCCCCCCTTTGTGGCTGGAAGAGGTGCAGGCAGCCGAAGCTCATTTCTATACGGGCTTCTTTTCTTGCTCTTTTGGTTGATTCCTCACCTCTCCTACTAGGGAGAACTTGTAATCAAACTATACACTTTGCCTCTCAGGGCCTCAGCTTCTTCCCCCAAAAAATTACTGAAAATTCCTTCCATCTGTAACATCCAGTGCTTTTATGGCTTAAAAGAAAAAAATCACAGTCATAATTGCCATCATTAGGACAAGCTGCCTCAATCAACATTTATTTAGTGCTTCTTTGGATCCTAACAGGGCCCCCCCGGCCCCCACCCTGACAAACTTGACCAGGATGGGATTAACTGAGGGGAAACCAGAGAGGAGAGACTGCCAAAGACCTGACATGCCTGAAGTCAGAGCATGGACTCTGATAGCAAAGCAACCTGACCTCGGCAAGGCTTCTCATCCTGCCTGGAAGGCAAGCTCCCTCCCATCCTCCTTCCTCTACCCAACCCATAACTTGTCTTGATTTTGGTATTGAGATAATTAAGGGGAAAAATCAGATATGTAGCTATACATAAAGACTTTGATCCACCTATTTACCAATGAGGTAATGGTCATTATTTTTTATATCATGAGAAGGCCTACAATGAGCAATGAAATGTATAAATGAGGTGGGGAAGTAAAAATCTTTTAATTTTGGAAATGAAGAGACAGCTATGAAAGAGATAGAGACAATGGTTAGCATTCCTAGTTTCTCTGCTGATGCCCATTAGACCTGCTTCCTGACTTGCCAGGACTTAGCTCCTGCCACCAGGCAAATGTGTTCAAGAAGGTGTCTACAATCCTGCAGACACATCCACGTATCTGAAACCTGTGGCAAATGAGGAAGTGAAGGGGATGCAATGATAGAGGTCAACAAGGCCCTGATTATGGGATCTATGCCAGGCTAGCCAACAGGCCCCCTCCCCTTTATTTGTAGGTTTGGGGCTTTATGATCAGATATGTCTTATGGAAGATCACACTGACTCTGATGGTACTGGTTTGACTGAATCATTTGACTTTCTAGGACATACCTAGCACAGTAAACAGAGCATTGTAGCTACACTGAGAAATAGGTGAAAGAAAGTGCTCAAGAATCTAACATTAATTCCTCATGGCAGCACATCCACAAGCTCAAACATAAAGACAAATACGATGACTGAAAAAATAAGAATGAGTAGCATGTGCCCCTCTCTACACCAAGGCTGCATACTTATGCTTTACCATTGATTATCTACTGATATGGGACCAATGCATGGTTTTTATGCCATTATACCATTGAAATAGAAAAATAATCTTTCTTTCCCTACTTCGTGACCATGGATGAATCAGATCACCTTGTTACACTCATGCAATGGGCATAACTCAGAGAAATTCACCCAGTGTGGGAAACTTGAGAGTCAAACCCTTGTTCTGACATGAATTGGAGAAACCACAAAAATTGGCATGGCTTGTGCCTGCCCAGTTGGTATAACTGCTCTCAAATGGCCTTTGACACGCTCTGCTCCTGCCTCTGCTTGTTGGCGAGTTAAAAAATGCTCTGGATGAGTCAGCTGACTTTCTACTATAGCTTTTAGCATGGGCTGGGCAATTCTCTTGAAAAGGCTAAATCTGACTTCTACACATGTCAGTTTGATAAGGGCATAGGTGTATACTTCCCTGCTCTGGCAGGATAAACACGTGTTATGAAGTGAATCACTAGAGAAAACATCATGTTGCCAATAGTGTTGTTGCTGGAAGTATTACTTCTCCAATTAATGTGGGAATGCCTATATTCCCCCATTACTCTCCTGTTCAGCTCTGGTCTTCTGAAAAGCTGGTTGTCAAAATGACACTTAGCACAGCTTTCCAAAATTGCTCACTCATTGTGATTAACTGCCATTGATTGCTGAGAGAGTCACTAAATGGATCATTTGATGACAACAACCATAGACATGGGGGAAATGACTTCTTTCTTTTCTAGCAATAGGCAGCCTTTGCAATGGCCCAAAGTGATGAGTAACCAAAATGCTTTAAAAAAAAATTGACTTGTCATCATTTTCTTTAGTGACAGCACATTGCTCTTAAAGTAACAAACACATGTCAAGGTAGACTTTTTTGAGCATAGTCAAATTATAAATTGGGTTAGACTGTGGACTGAACCCCATTATTTCATTTTAATCTAGGGATTAATTCCTACTTCAGTGGTACTCAAAATGTCATCCACAGAAACCTGGATGTACCAAGATCTTTCTGGGTGGTTTATGAGGTCCAAGCTCCTTTCATAATAATACTTACATACTACTTGCGCTTTTGATCTGTTGACATCTCCACCGACTGCACCAAAGCAATGGTGGGTAAGACTGCTGGTGCCTGAGTGGAAATCAAGGAAGTGGCACAAACCATACTAGCAGTCATTGTCTTCTTCACCGCCACATGCTTGCAGTAAAATATCAGATGGCTTTTACTTAAAGATGACCTGATGAAGCAGGAAAAATAAATGATAAATTTTGTTAAATTTTGACATTGAGAATACCTTTTTTACTATTCTGTGTGACAAAATGCGAAGTAACACGTAAACATACACTTGTGCTGTAGATTGAAGTATCATGGTTGTCAAAAAAAAATTGTGTGCTTATTTGAGTTTCAAGTCAAATTAGATATTTTTTTTCATGGAACACCATTTTCATTAAAAGAATGACAAATGATAGCTGTTCTGACTTGGGTCTTTCACGGATATTTTCTCAAAATTAACAAAGTCAGCTTGTCATTTCAACAGAATGGAATTTGTTGCCAATGACAGAATTTAAACTTTCAAGTAAAATTATGTTTTAGAACTTACATCTGTCACCAATAGCTTGACAGCTTTGCAGCATTTAAATTTGTTCTGGTAAGGTTAGTGGCAATAATAATGAAAGTGATTTTTTGATATGGTGTCATGAAATTTGTCAAAATGTTGGAGACCTGCACAAAATAATGAACAAGTGTTTTCCAAATGACCAATTTATGGTGTTACACAATCCTGTAGGGGTAAAATCTCTGTTCAAAGTTTAAAACAGACCAACGAGTTTTAGTGTAACAGTATGAATGGTTCACTGACGTGGTTTCATGTTCCATATTGCAGCTGATACTCAAGAACTACTGCTTGTCAGATTGCAGTGTCATGATTATCTGAGAAAGGCATTAAAACCCTCCTCCCCTTTCCAACCAGAAGAGCAGATCATAACAGATTAAATACAGAAACTGATATAAGAATCCAGTTATCTTCTAATTAGATTTTTTTTTTGTTTTAGAAAATATACCTATCGTCACAAAACATATTAGCTCTGCTGACATATAATGGGTTTATTTTAAAATAAATAATATTTTTAAAATTTAAGCTTTAGTTTTTGGTATGATAAAAATCCACAGACATAACCCACATACACAAAAGTTATTTGAAGTCCTCAGTAATCTTTTAGCATGTACAGGGGCACTGAGACCAAAACACTTGAGAAGAGCTGTTTTATTTTAAGAACTGTGTGGTACCAAATCTTACCACAGCTATTATCATCAGCCTAATAGGAAACACTTGTGTTGAACTTAAATTAGAGGCATTCTATTGATTGATCATGTTATATGCAACTAATTTTTTCCAGCTGATCATGTGACATCTGTTCACTGGAATATAAATAGCAATTATTTGGCGGACAGTTATTGGAGGCAGGGAATAAAAAATCTGACAGTTAAGATTGCACTTATTAGAAACAAGTATTTCAACGTTATTTTAGGCATTTTGAAATGTAAACCTCCTTTAACCTTTAATTCTATAATGAATGACCAAAACTTTGCTGTAGAAGTAGGTATATTTGCTAACCTGGTGTTTACAAATTTAAATAACAAACATATGTCTTTGCCTCAGCTCTCATTCTGCATTTCTGATTATGACTTTCCTCTGCTCAGGAATACAGATTATCTCCATAAACACAGAGAAAAGTGCATCTCAACACCTTATCACACATTCAAAGTCCTTTGCAATTGGTCCTCACTAGCCTAATATGCTGCTTTCCTTCTCCCTCTTGTCCACCTCCACTCACTCTGTACAACAGCCATGCTAAACTTTCTCCAAATACACCCTTTCCTTGTATATCTGGGGACGTTTGAATCTCCTGTTTCTACTCTTGAAATGCTTTTACTCCTCTTCTCCATGCAACAAACTCTCAGTCAGGCCTCACAATCAATGATAAATTTAACCTCCAGTAAGAAGCTATATTTTCATTCATTAATTCCCTCAACAAATGGGATTTGCTAGGCAATGGTCAGACATGGTCCTTGCTTTCATGTGTTATGTAAATAATCAATAAATGATAAATGGCACAATTGTGATGAATGTTTGTGTAGAAAAGTTTCAGGATGCTTTGAGGATCTGGAATAAGAGGATTTTCCAGGGTCAGGGAAGGCTCACCTGAAGAAGTAACACTTGATCTGAGCACCAACTAATGATAGGGATAAACAGGAAAAGATGGGAGGAAAGTGCCTTAGGTGGGGCAAGGCTTTGTAGCAAGAGGAGGCATGTGTAGAACAGGGGCAGGAAGAAGAGCACTGTGTCTGGTGTGCAGTGAATGACAGCACAGGACATTTGAATTTAGAAAGAGTGAAAACCAAAGCAGGCAAGACCATGTGAGCATGTTAACGAGTGTGTCTTTAACCTGAGACTTATGAAACCATTAAACTGAAAGGACAATGGATTCTCAGGTATGCATTTTGAAACAATCACTGTAGTTGTTGTAGGAGAACAGACTGGAGAGAGGTCAGAGACAAGGCAGGGAGATCTGTGATGAGGTTACTGTAATAGTCTAACTGCATAATAGTGGTTGCCTGGATTAGGAAGTAGAAGGAAAGAGGTGGATTTACATGACTTCAGGCAGTGACATTGAAAGGATGGTGTGTGATGGATGGGCTATGTGGGTAAGGGAGAGACAGGTGTCAGGGATGATAACTGGGATTCTAGCTTATGCAATTGAATCCATGAAGTGTTCATCCATTGAGCCAGGCAGGCCCTAGAAGAGAGCAGGCTTAGGAGAGAGCTCCCGACTTCCCCAAGAAGAAGTAGTGACCACTGTAGCCGTAGCGTCATACCATTATTACAGCACTTTTCATTGTGTGGACATTTGCCCATTTTGAATTTGGGGTTGTTGGTATTGTCTGCCCTACAATGGAAGAATCCCCTGTTGTGTGAGCCTTTATAGGAGACAGAACACAACTTCCCAGTACAGAAAACAGAATGAATGAGATGCAATTTCTGTTCCACCCTGACATAGGGTCTCAGACAGGTCAATTGGACTTTGGCAAATATTTGCTTCCATATAAGATTTCAAATTTGGAGCAAGTAGAGAAAAACTGAATTGATAATTGATTTCACTATAGCAGTGTTCAGTAGTGACCATAGAGGTGAGTAGCTGAGATGGCAGTGGTGTCTACCATAGCCGTGGCAGTGGTGCCGGCGGCAGCATTCTCATCAGGCTGTTTCTGCAGCATAAACTTTGCTATTATTCCTGCTGCTCATCCTCCCTGAATACATACCCATTTTCTGAATCTGCTTCCATGGCCTTCTGACTGAGGATAAATTGATGATGATGATGACGATGACGACGACGACGACGGTGGTGGTGGTAGTGGTGATGGTGATGATGGTTAACAGAATGCTTAATATGAGTCAGGCCCTGCTCCAGTTAGTTCACATATATTCAGTGCTTTAATCTTCCTGCCTTCATCTGACAAATGAAAAATCTGAAGCCCAGAGTGGTTGAATAATTGGTTTATAGGTCCTACAGATAAAGAGAATGGAGACCTCAAAGCCTGGCTCCAGAACCAGCCTTTTGATTAAGAATGGATTCTGTGGCTTGTAACCAAGAACCCTGGCTGGTACATTTGGTTCTGTGGTCCGTTTTTCCCTGGAAGCCCAGAACATGTTAGGGGTAAACATCGGGTATCATTTTGCCTGACACAATACATTTGTAGTTGACATTCCGAGTACTCAGGGTAGCAGCGGGAATGGTTCTCCCATGATTCATCTCCCCTCCTTCCCTGCAAGCACACATAGCCCTGCTACTTGCCTCTGCTCAACTGCTGCACGGGGTGGGATAGCAGCACCACACTCTTTGGTAAACGCTTTCTCCGCTCCATGGTACTGTTAACCCAGGGTTGCAGGTGCCAAAGCAGGAATGAAAGCTCCCATTGTACAACACCCATGCAAGGGATCCATGTTGAGGTTTCTGTGGGGACAAGGGAATGCTGAAAGCCAGCTGACAACAAAACAAGACAGAGTGAAACTGTGTAGTTTCGATTCCCCGGGAGTGGGGGAGCCCGTTTTTTCAGAGCAGCTGTAGCAGCTCAGAAACATGTAGTGTCCACATTGCATGTGCAGAGCGCTTTGTGCACAGAATCAGCAAAGCAACAGCCCCTGAAGGTGATGCTGACTTTCCCTGGGGACTTCCTGCTGCTCTTTAAGCCTTTCAGTACTGAGTTTGAAAAAGGTCAGCAAGGCTGAATTTGGGATAAGGGCTCTTTGACCGAAAAGCTCCTCAGAGGACAAAGGGACTGGGAATCAGGGGTCTGGGATTACTCTGTGGCTTCCAGGATACTGATGTGGGACATCATATGGCACAGTCTCTCTGGAGCTTCCTTACCAGAGAGTCAGTGCAGAACTGCAGTTTCCCTGACGTTCTTGGATAACTTGTGACCTAAAAACCATTCAAACCGGGTTGGAAAGACAAACTGTTCCTGCCCTAAAATCTTTGAGGACTGCAAGATTCTCTCACTTGAGCCCAGAGAGAAAAAGCAGTTCTGAACTGTCCTTGAAACTTCACTTCCTTTCCTAAGACTAAGACAGGATCTGAGAGAGCAAAAATGCATCAGTGAATGTGGGCTTCCCTTCCCATTCACCACCACCCTCACTCCTGTTCTTGAAGGAGGTGGCAGTCCTCACCATTCTAATGTATGTGGTGCTCTCTGCTGGCAGCTAAAATCTTTTTGTTCCCTGAAACAGGATGCCTCTGTAATGCTGAGTCACTAAACCACAGAGAGCAGCTGAGAGAGGATTTGGCTCACAGCCAGTGTCTGGGGCCTCACATTCCCTAGAAGACCTTTCTTTACCTGTTGTATGATCCCTTCCTATCAACATGCAGTTGTAATTAAAACCCCTACTTCTCTTCTTCCCTCTCTCAGTAGCTCTCTACTTGGGGTTGTCCTGCCCTCCCGACTGGACCAAAGCTGCAGCTCCTCTTCTATAGGCAGGGTGCCTATCAGGAAAATGGATCTTATGTTTCTCTGTTTTGTTTTGTTTGTTTGTTTTTTCATTTTGTTTTGTTTTTCCAAATGGTAGAGCCAAGGGCAACAGTGCCATGAGGCAGGGGTAGGGCCAAGGAATGCTTTGGTGGGAAGGGGAGGGGGGCAGACATAATGCCTGTCCTTCACAGCTTCCATTAGCAAACACCCCCACTCCATATATGTGTTAAAACTAGGTGAAAACAGTATGTTTTCTATGCAAATACAACTCTAAGACAAATCCCCCAGCGCCACTTTCTTGTCAGATCATTGCTACTACCCAAGCTCCTGATACAGAAATACTTGGTGCTGCCACAACCACCTGGATCAGAGACCAAAACCAGCTTCTAAAGGTCACAATCTAGACCATCACTCATTTTTCATAACTGACTTTGTTAATTCCTACCTATCTTATGTTGCCCTCAGAATGGCTATTCGCCGACAGTGTCCATCACAATAATGAGAAATAATTTTTTAAAAAGTAGCAGGAAACCATAGTTATCCTTCTTCAAGCCAAGAAGACACACATCAGAAAGGCTGATAGTGGGTTATCAGAAGAAAATGTATTTGCAGACTTATTTTTTAATTAAAATGTGAGAAAAGCAAGGTGCATAATTGTATTTATTAAAAAAATGGCTGGGGGAGTGGTAAAGGAGTATGTATAGGGGTGTGTGTGTATCTATATATTATACATCTTGCAGATGAGTAAACTATCTGGAAGGATTCACAAAATTAATAGTGGCAAATAATTATTGGCACTTATTTTGTGACAGGTACCATTCTAAGCATTTTACAAATATTAATTCACTTAATTCTCATAAAAACTCCATGTGGGAGGTATTTTATTATCCCCATTTTTCAGGCCAGAGAACCAAGGCACAGAAAGATTAATTATTCTGCCTGAAGTTACATGTCTGGAGAGTGCAGAGCCAGAATTAGACCTGAACAAGCTGTCGGCTGCCTCTCGGAAGGAGAACTGGTTGGCTCAAGAACAGGAGTGAGGAGAGAGACTTTTCCTTTTATATCTCTTTGTACCTTTTGAATTTTGAACCACAAATTTGTAATATATAGTCAGTGCATAAATGAATATATATTTAAATTAATTTAATACAATGACTTAGAAATATAACATTAAAAATTAATATTAAAAATCAAGGAAAACATTTATGTTTTTCCTCTACCAACTATGCTATCCTAGAGAGTCGGTAATAGTACAGTGGTTAATGACTCAGGGGCAGACTGCTGAGTTCAAATCCTGCTTCTGCCAATCAACTTGAACAAATTTATATTCTCTCTGTGCCTGTGTGGGTTATTTTAAGGATTAAATAAGTTAATACGTGTAAAGTGTTTAAAAGAGTATTTGGCACATACTAGTGGCTAGATATATATTAGCTATCATCATCTAAAGTTAAACACATTCAGTCAATAAATATTGAGAGTTTATAGTATACCGGACATCGTTTTAGGCTCTAGATATAAAGCAATGAATAAAACAGAAAAAAAAAATGTAAAGATCCTTGCCTTTATGAAGCTATTAAGTCCTCAGAGACTGAGAGAGAACATTACATGGGGCAAGAAAATAAAACAGGCATGATAAGGTAGGAGAATAAGTGATTGAAAAAGAACATAGGATGTATAGTATCCATTCCCATCTGCAAAGTCTCATGGCATGTCACATCTTAGGCAAAAAATGGGATTCATAGATTACATGGTATAGAATCACTTCATTATTCTCAGAATTTATATAAACCCCTAAACCTAGGCAAAAGTAACAATAATTTCTCATATTACTAATTTACACGTCCTATCTACTTCCAAAGGGGATTTACAGTGGAACATAACCAGAAAATCCATTTTGAAAAGAAAAAGATAACTCATATATGTGTACTTTGGAACTAGAAAAGACTCTAGAAAAATTCTAGTAGTAACTTACATAGCCTTGTGCAAAGTAAATTTTTTCAGACTAGTTTCATTTCTGTGTGACTTGATGGTCAAGAAAGCATTGTGATGTTAATTTATTTCAGAATCATGTCAGGGGAATGTGTTAAGAGAAACAGCCTGGCTGATCTAACAGAGACACACATTCATTCATTTCACAGCCAATATTCCTTTGGGCATGGTTTCGAAGTTTTGGAAAATAAGAACAAACTTTAAAGAGAGGTTGGAAAAATCAAGAAGTAAAGTAAGGGCCGGTGGACAATGATATCCTGTGGTGGAGGGATGGACAGCCTGGGCATGGAATGGCTTCTTGCTCCCTGGAGGGGCACACTTTTCACCTAATCCCAAATGTCTTTCCTAGGCTTGTTTCTCTCTCAAATAATTAGCTTCCCTGAATGCCCAGCAAGGACCATTGTAACTACTTGGTGCTTTCTTTGCTCTTATTTGCATCCACATGGTATCCTCTCTGAGAAGTACTCTGGCTGAGCTCATCTGCATAGCAAGACAAAGTAGAACATAATGAGGCTATACATGATAGGTGCATACTAATTTCTGATGTTACTTTAAGAAGATTTCAGAACAGCATTTTGCTTCAGTTTTTGGTATGGGAAAATCCATTTTTTTTGTTGTTGCTACAAGTGAATCCAATTTTTCTACATTAATTAGTAAAATACTCTCTCTCCTTGTAAATTCTACAAGGGCAAGAATTTTTGACTATTTTCTTCATTGTTACATCCCCAGCACTTAGAGCAGTGCCTAAAAGGACACACCAGATGTTCAATAAATTCTTTTTGCATAAATGAAGAAAATAGACATAGAACCCACAAAGTAAACGATGTTAAATTCTCATAAGAGTTGAGGAACCGAGATCCAAAGAGTTTATTGGATGTACCTTGGGCCACAAACTGGAATGCATCCCTGGTCTGTGTGACTCTGAATTCTACCTTCTCTTTGTAATGCCGAACAAAACGATACCAATACTCTCCAGCTTCACCCTAGATCTAAAGGAACAGAATGCCTACATGGGCTATGGTGCTGCATTGAGGTTTAGTTTGTTTGTGCTGTCTTTTCACAGAATTGAGAGATTTTTAAAAATAGAGATCCCTGTATTCTGCAGTGCGTGCGTCTAGCTCTCCTCTTTTCCCATACATGCCACTCACCTCCATGCAGATAAAATAGAGGTGCCATGGAAGATGAACAGCATCTGAGCACCAAAGCAACACAACAGGTGTTTCTAGGACTCCCTGGACTATATCAACACTGCTAACTAAACACATAGGAAAAGAAACAATGAAAACTCTGTGAAAGCAAGGGTTTCTGTTTGTTTTGATCACTGAGAACTACCAAGCACATAGTATATCATCTAAAAAAAATAGAGCTGAAATACTAAGGAAAACATAGAACCAAGAAAAGTATATACCTTGGTTTTAACTCACTGCCATAGCTGAAATAGCCAGTTTGAATATTCATTGATTTCATTTTCCATACTTTGAAATGATTTGCCATGCATTGGTGAACATCAGAGA